TTTGCCGTATAACCGCAATATAGTGCATGGGGAGTTATTTCGAATTTCGGCCTGAATTAAGCTTAATTTAGGCCGAAATTCTAAACCACACCCCATTGCGTTATTTCGTGGTTATACGCTATTTTTAAATTTACTTTTTTTATATGTTCGTTTTACCGGGGGGCATCAAAGGGGAGGGGTGATGTTAACCGAAAAATTAACTTCGAACGGCCTTAAAACGTTTATTAAAATAACCGTGACCAAATTTTTATAGAGTTTTAAGCAAAGATATCTCAGTGACTAACCACCAAATTCGATTAATTTTTTTATTTTTGTTTCTACAGATCTGTAGAATCAAAATAAAAAACTTTGTCAAATTTGGCTGATGGTTGCTGAGATATCTTCGCTCAAAGTTTTAAACATTAAAGCATTTATCAAAATAGCTGCGGCCAAATTTTTATAAGCTTTAAGTAAAAATATCCCAGGGACCACCCATCCAAATTCGATGAATTTTTTTTATCTTGTTTTTATTAACCTATAGAATCAAAATAAAAAATAATTTATTGGATTTATTTTAGCAGTCATCGAGATATCTTTGCCGAAATTTTTAAAAAATTGAATTTTATTAGAGGGACAGAAATTTTTCGAAAGAAATTTTTTAATATGTATTGAAATTTTTTGGATACAATTTTTATTATGTGATCATAAAATGATTGGCTATTAATTATGTGATCTCTGCCAATACTATTATAGTTTCGAAATAAATCGAATCAAAATCAATCTAAATTTTTACTTTAATCGAAATAATATTTACGTGTAAACCCGTGACCTATATGTGACTTGGTAGTACTAAACGCCCAAATAACCTGAGCCTCAAGAATATTATGAGGCTCCTTGGTGGCGAATGGAGGCTTAATGACATAGATTAATTCCGGTGAGCGTTTGTTTATCTAGCAAACCCATTATTGTTGGCACCCAATTGTTGGCATAAACAAACAAGACTGTGCTGTTCACGGCCCGCGCACAATGCTGCTTCACTGTGTTGATAGTACAAAGAGTCTTAGAAGGTTGAGCTTAAAGATAGCGCAGTAGCTCTTAGTAAATTAAAATGTATTTAAGGCCTGAGTTTTCGCCTTAGTTAAGTTTCCTCAGACTATTCGTCTCAGACAATGTGTCTCAGAACTTTCGATGTCTTAGTATTCCCACATGTATTGAGTTTATGTATTGTTTTATTAGTTTAGTTTTATTCTTTTATTATTGTATTATTATTATTATCTTGCATTTCTTATAGTATTGTTCATAATAAATTACCCCGATAATTAAAGTTTGATCTGTTAAGTTATAACCCCGACTCAGTTTAAAAGTTTCGTGACCTCATATCACGTGTACAAGAGTTATAAATCCCGAATAAAGTTAACCATCGGCTAAATTGGCCAACCGATGGTAGCAACATGTATATAATAATTAATTACCTGTCAACAAAGTCTAGTACGTTTTTAGGTGATCATCGGTTTGATTACCGTTTGATAATAATAAATAAAGAAATTTTGAAATTAGATATCCAATAAAAGACGTTGATTTACATATCTAATTCTGTATTATCACATTTCACATCAAGTGCGCAAAATCCGCCCATATGGTTAGGTTAGGGATATATTTAGGCCAGCTTGGTTTAATTCTGGTAAACAAATGGCGTTATTATATGTTTATCATGTGATCGTCGATCGTTAATTTCTTCAAGTGTCCCAAAAAGTTCAGTGGATTAATGCTGCGCTCCTCTTGTTCTTTACACAAGCATTTTTAATAGATTTTTCTTGGTGGTCCTCACGCGATCACAGGTAGAACATTAAACTTTTTCGACAAGTATTCTTTCAAAAATCTTCGGCGCGATATACGACCTTCCCCGCGAAAAATTTTACGGGATTTAAATGAATTATACGGAATATTTAGAACAATCTGTATTACATACGGAATTCACTGTATTTTATATATGCACTGGGAAATAATATGGAATCAATAAGGAAATGGATTAATTCTTTATGTATATTCCGTCGAATTCCCCTCCGGGGGTAGTTTCAAGAACAGTGAACCCAGTGATATCTTGTGTCATCACGTCACCTGATTAAACACTCGGCCTAAGTTAGGGTTAGGGTTAGGGTTAGGGTTAGGTGATGGTATAGTTTAGTGTTAGGCCAATTTGTTAGTGCTAGTAAACTGAATTCCGTATGTAATACAGAATTATACCAAATATTCCGTATAATTAATTTAAAATTCCGTAAAACTTTTTTCATAGCGTTTCTAAACATTTCCTACCGTTTAAATTACCTGTGAAAGAGATACAGCATGAATTTAGATAATAAAGAATTTGGAAATGCATATAATACCAAAAATTTTTGAAAAAATACTTGAAAAAAGTTTTATTGTTCTACTTGTGGATATCAGTATAAAAAAAGTATGGAAACTTTATAGTATCTAAAATGTATATCGAAAAGGATCGTACGTCATGTGCTATTACTAGTTTAATAGGTACGTATTTTTTGTTCACGATTGAAGCTAAATTAGTTCAAGTTGAGTAATGCCTTTCCATAATCATAATACCAAACATAATCTCTAACTTTTAATTGCGTATCATTTACGTATATTACTATCTGATTTTTGCATTTATTTTGTGTTATAGTTAAGATCGGGTTTGGGTTAGGGTACGTTAGGGCTAGAGTTGGCTTTATTAAATATTAGACAAATTAGGACCCAATTTAGTAAAAATATAACTGTTTTGTCTAGTTTTTTTTTGTCAGCTTGATATGTAAGCAATCGGACATCATATCGATAGTCCGGTCTATGGTCCTCAAATAACCGGGGATTTACTTCTCACCGTTGCTAGTACTGTACATATATGTTTCATAATGATTTACGATGATACAAAGGGTTACAATAAATTTTTCGTACATTTCCTAATTTGATCCTTCCTGGATAGATTACGCGAAGATTATATCCAAATATAATGAATTTATTAAAATAATCTGTTGTAATTCTGGGACAATCTAAATGATTCGCCTAAACATTTTCAAAAGTACGATATTTATAGATTATAACTAAGCAGCAGAGTTCCATAAACGGAATCGTTTTATTAAAATCCAATGTCGTGTCTAGCACTTTTGAGGATGGAATAAGATGTTTTTAGGCTGAGTTGTTTTGCATTTAAACTCATGAAAATGTCGAATTTGTAAAATATCCGAACTGCACCAGAAACACCAGCTCCCTCAACATTATTAGAACCAAGAGCCATCTCCACGGACTAAAGCTACCAGCACCTTCAACACTCAAAGTTAATTCAACCCAGAAAAAAACAAAAGAATGAAGTTATTACTATTTTTATTCACGACAATTGTTGATGTCGGTTTACCGATCATACTTAATTATGTTCTTACATATTTTGGTGTACCTGTTATTTTGGCACTAGTCTTATCAGGTACCATACCATTTGTATCTGTTATCATTAATTTTAACTTTCGCAAACAAGTCGACGTCACGGGAATACTCAGTACGACAGGTTTTATTGCTTCAACCATATTGTCGATAATTCAAGGTTACGTTAAGTTAGACATATTGGAACAATTGAATGCACCAATTATCAGCTTTGCAATTGGTCTAGTATTTTTGATCACTTTGATTCCTATAAAAGTTGGTTCATACCAATTGCGACCTATATTGTATTATCATTTTAAATTTATGGAAATGGGTAATATTAAAGGCTTAACGGAAGATGAGCCTATTCCTGAACGTTGGGAAAGGTATTGGATAACTTACGCTGATTTTCGACAAACTTTTATTGTATTGACTGCTGTTTTGGGATTTGCTTTACTTCTTGATGTTCCTATCCGTATTCTAATTATTTATATAACCAAAATGGCAGATCGAGCAGCATTGGTTGGAAGTATTGTTTCCTTTGGTTATATGCAGGTTTTTATTTCATTTAGCGTTATTTATGCCAAATGGATGAAAAAATTACATGAAAAACGATATAAAGTAAAAGAAGGTAGTTATATATAGTAAACTATTTACTATTCAATTCCATTAACATGTATTTAAATGAATCATTGTCTGGAGAGAGGCGGAAGGCTTTTTACTTTTTAAAACTTGGTTTAAAACAATAATTATAAAATGCGCCTATGGTGTTGAACACCATATGTAATTTTTTATTAAAATTTAGGGTTAGGGTGCAGTTTTAGGATAAAGGAGATAACATAATATATAAGGTCCCGATTTTAGTTTTCAAAATTTTCTCTCTTATAAAATACATCCATTATGTTTTTGTACAAAGCTTTGATAGCTAAATTAAAAATAATTGAGAAAAATTGCATAAAAAAATTAAATCCAAATTGTACATAAGATATAGTTAGTTTAGAGATTATTTAAATAAGCTTTATTATGAATTTAATATGTGATGTTATTGTCCGAAGCGTAGCGAGGACTTATATGTACATGTAAAAGTTGAAAAATGTCCGTCTGTCCGGCACGTGCCTTCATTGTGATTGGCTGTTACTTTCCATCTAGACCTTTTGACTTGAAAAATGTCCGTTGTCACGAGGAAATTTTGTCTTCGGACAAAATTCGCCCGATTTGATCGGCACAACGTGGACTCCGGCAGTACCTTGAACCGATGACTACATGTGCTGATTTTATAATTTAATATTTTCAGCAGTTTCGCAATAACTGATACGAAGAATTTATAATTTTTACAATTTTTCAGTATCAAACTCTGGCGCTACTTTCAATAAATAATCTTAGTAATAAATAAACTATGGGATTCATAAATGAGCTGGACAATAAGCTGGAAAAATCTAGTTTCGTATTAAGCCTGGGATCAAACTATTCTTCAATCTTACTCTCTAAACGAGGTATCAAGAATTTTTAAAAACCTTACATAATTATATAGTGTTTGGAAAATTCTTCATTTGTTCTACATTATTTTAAAACGAGTTTTTTCGTCTTTGACAAGTGACGAAAAATATTTAGAATGAATAAAGGCCTTATTTTTGAATCTTGCCAAAGAATTGAAATTGACATTTTGCGCATGAATATAAAGAATAAAATTTATTACCGTATTCCTCCGAAAATAAGCACCCCTTTTTACTATAAGGGTGCTTATTTTCGGGTACTTCACAAATAATTAAAAATTTTGGTCACAAAAAACAAAAACTTGTCTCTCTTGCTATACAGATGTCAATATTATCATGCTTACGTATCACAATAGTTATTAAATTGTGCTATCGCTATTGTTGTCCTTTATTCTCACTTCAATCAACTTCCATAACGGTGATCGAACATGTTTAATTATGCACGATGATGTATTAACGTACTAACTTAAAAAAAAAAAAAAAAAAAAAAAAATTGTTTGATTCAACATTATTACCGGTACCATAGTATGGGCCGACCAAAAAAAGTCAACACTTCTAAGTCAAAGCAAGAAAACGTTTCAAAATCAAACCAAGAAAACATTTCAAAGTCAATCCAAAAAAATGTTCCAAGGTCAAAGCAAAAAAATGTTCAAAGGAACGTTTTAGGGCCAAGACAAAGAAATATCCAAAGAAATAATCTTGGATCAAAGCGAAGAAATACTCCTAGTTCAAGTCCGGAAAATGACCAAAATCAAGAAAGTGATTCAAATCAGGAAAATGATTCGAATCAAGAAAATTTTTTTCAGCTTAGAAGTCGTTTAATTATCCGCCATTACAGTATTAACAAGGAAAACATTCCATTAATCAAGACAAATAGAACTATCAAACATAAGGCTAAGGTTATTAAATGGTCAAGGTCTTCATATTCTATTAAGCAAAAAATGGAGATTGTTAGCTATGCGAAGCAACACAGAAGAAACCAGGCAGCAAGAAATTTTAATCTTAATGGCAGTATGATCGGACGTTGGGTAAAAGCAAGTACAAGCTGGGTAATTCAAGAAAATAATAAAAAAAAAAGCTTGGTTCTGGCTGAAGGGCTCTTTACCCTGAAGCTGAAAAAAGCTTGTATACCTGGATTATTGAACAAAGGAAACAGGCGTTAGCTGTGACTTATATAACTATACAAAACCAAATGAAGGAAATTTTACAACAATTCAATATGATACTTCTTTATAGTGATACAGTAAAGACTTTCAAGACATCTCATCGTTGGATAGTCGCATTTATGAAAAGAAATCAGTTGGCATTACAACATCGTACTAGAATTTCACAAAAACTTCCTGAACAAACTCAGGAGTTGTTAGAAAAATTTTGCCAATATATTATCCGTCTTAGAAGTGAAAAGCTTTATGAAATGTGCAATATTTTTAACATGGATGAAACTCCAGTTTGGTTTGACATGGCTGGAAATTTTACTGTAAATCCAAAGGGTAATAAAACGGTTCATATTCAGGCTACAGATAATGAAAAAAATAGATTCATGGTTGTCTTATCATGTGCCGCAGGGATTTTTTTTTTTTTTTTTTTTTTTTTTTTTTTTTTAATGTATTCTTATGTTTTTGGTTTATTATTGTAAATGGGAGTAAGCTCCTTCCTATTTGCATATTTAAGGGAAAACGATTGAAGCGTAGTGAACAAATTCCCTCTGGCATTGTAGTTTGGTTTCAGGAAAATGGTTGGATGAATTCTGAGCTAATGCTAAAATATGTGGACTATTTCAATGATATACGATTAAAAAATGGAACTAGAAGAAATCGAGCAATGTTAGTGTATGATTCTTTTAAAGGCCATTTGAAAGATATAGTCAAAAGTAAATTTCGTGAATACGATTTTGATTTAGCAGTAATTCTAGAAAGTTTAACTAGTATCTGCCAACCCCTTGATGTCTCAATTAATAAACCATTCAAGGATAATCTGCGTAAGGAATGGCATCTCTGGATGGCAAGAGGTGGCGCTGGAAAAACTGCTGCAGGGAATCTTCGTCGAGCTAGAATTAGCGATGTATGCACATAGGTTAAAAATGCTTGGGAAGCAATTTCCGATGAAATTATTATTGAATCTTTCAGAACTTGCAAAATTTCAAATGATTTAGATGAATTAAGGTCTGATCTAGAAGTTATTGATCTTTGTGATGAAGAAAATGATGATAATACTAGTATTGAAGAGGATGAATGTAAGGGTTTATTCATATTAAAGTCTGATGAAATGAGAAATATTACTGCAGTAAATAACCTTTAAGTACTGCTATTAAAATGGAATAGGATTTGATAACAATAACTATAATAGCAACGATAATTGTGGTGACGATTATGGCAACGATTATAGCAACGATTATGGCAACAATTATGGCGATGATTATGGCGACGATTATGATGATGACTACGCCGGTGGCAATGATTATGATGTTAATGACAGTAAAGACTATGATACTAACGATGATGAAAGTAAGGTAATATAATAATTATTTCAAATAATATATTGTAGTTGTTTCGAATAACATTAAATTGCTAACAATTCAAATTTTTTAAAAATCAATAAATAAGTGCAAATCATGTGGTTGACTATTCGTTCATCGTTGTCAATACCCTTGTTGACCTGCCCTAGGGTTATTAAAACTTACCTGACAGCATACTTTACATGGTAAGTTATAGTAAGTTACACTATAACTTATAATATAGGCAAATCATATGACAATTTCCACCAGCATTAACAGGTAATAAATAGCATTCCCAAAAATAGCACGCAAGTGTGTTGTTAAGCTATAGCCTAAATTAAGTATAAATTATGCCACATTTAACAATTTCATCTCTGGGAGTTATTTTGAGCTTATAAATAATTTCAGTAAAATGCGTGTAACTTATATGTAAGTTAACAACTCTACCTTAAAATATAAGTCACAGCTAATGCTGAAATCTGGGGCCTCAATTTAAAAACATAACCCTACCAAAACCTGCATATACTCTTAAATATCAAATCTATTTAACCTAAAAAAAAAAAGTGGAAAAAAAAATGCTCAAAATTTAAACCTTATATAAAAATAGATCCAATTTTCAGCATCAGCTGCAACAATATATGAGTGCTGCCAAGTGTTTCAGGTGAAACTATTTTCCAAATCTGAAACGTTTTGCCCAGAGGAATTTTAGTTTCGCCCAATTTGATCTGCAAATGATCTGCAAATTTGGGTTTTGCCCGAAACACTTGCCAAGGGAAAAAGGTCATTCGGACTTTCAATTATATTTTGTGTACAGTTAACTATCTATGGAAAATTTACCATCATGATAGATTTTCCATAGACGGCTAACTTTATAAAAATTTCTTTTTCCCTTGG